CAGTAAATGTTATCTCGGACGAGGACCAAAAAAAAAAGAATATTTATTTTAAATCGACTAAATTTCCCTAGGAATTCGAAAACGACCTGGACTCGAGGAATAAATCGGGAATCGATCCCTTGTATTAAGCGAGTCCCTTCGGCGGCGGCCAAGGAAAATGGGAAAAAAGGAGACGGGCGATTGGAAGAAAAAAATATAAACAAAACGGAGTTCCGCGGGAGATCTCGAGGGCCCTGCGTGAAAAATTCCGGGACGAGTTCCCGTAAGAGGCCTTTGCCCTCTAATCGGCAAAGCGCGGCGAACAATACGGGGGCAGCTGTCACTGTCCTCCTCTTCCCTCCCCCTCGCTCCGCGTCCTTCGACGATAGTCCGTCCCTCTCTGGCTCTTGTTGTCATCCGCTGTCAACATCTGCTCGTAGAGCGAGGCGTGTAATCGACGACAGTTGAAATTCAGCCCGGGCTTATCGTGGACTCCTTCCAATATTTGTCCCCGGAGAAAGGGGATCGAGTGACTTTTATCGAAAAACGCGAGTAGCCTACTCGTCCGGATCACGACCAGGAGACAGAGGGCTAAAAAACATCCCCGCCCGGTCGCTTTCCGTCCACCCTGTGCGAGCGATTCGCGAGGCAGCCCTGATTCGTGATAAGGCCCGACCTGATAAGACCGGAGAAACCGCCGAGGGAACTTCGTCGATCCGAGAGAAATTCCCAGCGACGAGGACGAGGACCCCCAGAGATTTGGAAAAGATTCTTGCACCCGACATTTCCTCGGAAACGAGATTTCCCTCCTCGCACGTCACGGCCCTTGACTAATAATCCTCACGTAAGATCCGCGGCTTGAGGGTAGGATAAAGCTCGAGTCGAAGGTCCTACAAACGGCGGAAGTAGAACTTTAGAGAAATGAAAACCCCCCCTCGGGTCCCTGTCGCGTCCTCCTCCACCATCCGACTCTTCTAGATCTTTATCCATGGTCCTTGTAAATATAAATAGCGGAGCACTTGAGCGCCCTCCCGCCGAGCTCCGCGGCTTTCCGGGGCGGAAAAGTTAAGCGAGTAACCGGGAAGACCCGAAGCAACGGGTCAATGGCTTAGAAGGCCTTAACTGGGTGATCGCTCGGAATTAAAGTCCTCCTTTCCATTAAGGCCGCTCTTAACTCCCGTCTCGTCCCTTCCTCGGGGACCTCTTCCTTGGCCGCGACTCATTTCCCTCGAACGACGCTTCCAAAACAGGAAGACCCCCCGAATTAATCCCTAACCTCCAAAGCGCGAAATAAGAATTGAAAGGGCGCCTTAAAGAAGTCGAGCCAAAGGCCCAGCTAAGGAACGTTAAACCCTTCGGAACTGCTAATTTAAATACCCCAAACGTACGAGATTACGCGAAATCGTATTTAAGGGAACTTCCCTCCGAAACTTTTTATCCCCTAATTCGAATGCCGGATTATCGGGAGCGCCCTTTTCCGCGACTCTCGGGCCGTCTTCGACTCCCGATTAATTCCCTCCAAGTAATTCAATCACGGTTAAGACCGCGCTGACACAATTAGAAAACTTGACTCGTCCCGAGCCGAGCTTAACCTCTCGCGACAAGGCAGCTCCGAGCCCGCCTTAATGGGCTCGCGGATCCCGCGATTGTGAATTCCCGAGGGCGAGCCCGAATCCCGAGGTTCCTTTGAACCAAACAACGCCACCTTCTCCGGCAAACTCCCCTTGTCAAGAGGGGATCCTTCGAGAAGAACTTCCCTAATTCCTTGCGAAACGCCTCGAAGTGTCGCCCGTTGAAGTTGCCTCGTAATACCGCCAGGGAGCGGTGGCGTCGACTAGCGCAAGATTTTGCGACTCGCCTCGACATCTCAGGGAATACTTCACCGAATGATTAGGAACTTCAGCACGTGATTATGGAGGCCCTCAAGAATAACGCGATGCTCATGACACACCATTAAAAAAAAAAATATACGTATTCTTGGTTCTACCCTAATATAAATAAATAAAAACGTGGGGGATTACTTGATTAATTCAGTAATTAAGTGATTTTATCCGGAAATGAGGATTGTGTACTTTTTACGTTACTTTGAGGAGGGGAGTAATTCCTGGGGGAGTTATTGGCCTAGGAAAGAGGCTATGCGATGGTTTTACCGACGCGAGTTTTATCGAGCGGGGGAATTTCGTTGTTAATATCGCGAACATTGTCGGGGTCCATTTCGGAGCAGAGAGAGAGAGCATCGTCGGGCTCCGGTCCAAACGAGGTCGGGACACGTTAGGCACTCCCTAGTTAAGGATTACGATCTTGGCAAGACGGGCGCGGAATTGTCCCCTGTATTCCCCGGGACAAGTTTCCCACCCCGTGACGTCTTAAGCGAATTTGTCCGCGGCTGAATTCGGCATTAAAGTTTTATCGCCAGTGAACGCCCCTTGAGAAGCCCTCGACCTCGGTAACGCAGGGAGCCGCCTTTCCCGCGAGTGGAAGTCCTCGGAAAAATGTCACCCGGGAAGGAACGCGTTAAACGCGGAAATTCCTCCAGATCGCGACAAATGAAGAGATCGACGCGAAAATGCATCCAGTATTGAAAGAAAAGCTTTCATAAGCGTTTCGACGTTTTATATATGCAGGATGACCCTTTCAGATCGCCTTAAAAAGAAGGTCGGACCATCGCGCAATTCCAATTAATTGCCGCATTCGCCAAGTATTGCGGAGGCAGTTCCTGGAGTATCCGTAGTCGTCCCTCTTGGAGGAAAACGGGTTATTATTTAATATTCGGCCAAGAGACGGGATTAATTTATGCGTCCGCAAGGGAAGGAAATCCGGCATCGGGAACGCGAGGAAGGTCCGAGGCCCCTTCTTCTAGGGACCGTTCTTACAGACGGGCACCATTTATTCATCTTCCCGAGGACTCCGAGAAGGCGCGAGACGAATGTAGTCGAAACTCGCCTCGCGACTCATTTGCATGCTCGCTCGCAACCGCGGCCTCGGGATTTCGCCCCCACGAGTGGGGTGGATTTCCGGGGCAGAAGTCGAGGGGCCGAGGGGAGGAAAGCGCAGAAATCGAGTACAAGTGGCACCCTTCAGGAACTCAAAGGCGTTTCGAACGTCGTGGCCGAGTGAAACGCACTTTATCGCGTCTTTCGATCCTCCCTCCCGCCCCGGATTTCGTTTCTTTCTCTCTTTTTTTTTTTTCCTCATGCGGAACGAGCGAGGAAACTTAAGCGGAGAAGAATTAAAGACGGGGGACCTTTGAAGTCCCTGCCCGGAGTAAGACACGTAATGGCTCGGATGTGCTCGGACCTTCGTAATGACGACTTCGCACTTGACATTCCCGCGGTCGCCTCAAAGGGAATTCTTTAATGGACTCGATTCCGAAAAAGCCTCTCTTAATTCCGAGCTGAACCGCTCCATTTAATCCGCATAATATCTGTACAATTATTCATACCGCACAATTATTCATGGGTGAAGTTGAATCTTGAAATGTTTAATTAGGCGCCTTCCGCGTACCTACGAAGTCGATATTTAATATACTAGAAAAATTGGTTCGACGCGGGTACATATATTTTTTTTTTTTTCTAAAAACCCTAATCCCCGTCTTAAAGAAGTAAGAGGCGTCGCGGGCGAATCGGCGTCGGTCGTCGCGATTAATGACACGGTAATTGGCGCTCGCGCGGGCGCCGGGACGCCGGCGTACTGCCGCGTATGACACGGGTGAACTTCAAAGCACAATGGCGGCCGCGCGAGTGTAATTAACGCAATCAAATGAAAATATTCCCGTTTGCCCTCGCGTACGAGAATGGCGCGCGAAGCGCAAGCATATCGACCGGCACGGGGGCTCATTATGCAAATTTCGCCGGGCGGTTTCGATCGAATCGCCGCCGGAAAAATGCATTTTCGTTAACGGCAGTTTACGCGGCATTGACCCACATCGGATCGGCCGACGAGGCAAAACATCGCCAGGGAAAAATCCCGGAAGATCCCGGAACTACGACCCTTAACTATAAATTCCATAATCGAGGGACTTTAATGACTTAACCGCCCGAAGAAAAAAAAAATCGAAAAACGATTACACGGTAATTGCGAGGCGTTTGGGCGATCGGCGTTGGGAAGATCTCGCCAGCTATTGAGGAATTGAGGCGCGAGAGGCTGCACATAATTGCTCATAATTAATGAAAAACGGTGGATAAAAAGCCGAGGGGCCAAGAGTCATCCATCGTGACGGCGATATCAATAAAGCGCGCCCCCCACCTTGGGGTACACCCTCACGCCCGGTAATTCACGCACGTGGCTTCCGTAACGCGCGAGGGCATTACCTCGAGTGCGGGAGCTGTACCCCGTAGGTGGAGGTGGGGCGGGGGGAAGACATTATCTCAAGGCGAGGGGGTGGCGTCGACTCGCGTCTTCCTCCACCCATGATAGGGCGGAGGGCATGCGAGGCCCATACTAATTATGCGAGGCATTGTCTCGCGTCGCGTGTAAAGACATGCTAATTACATCTCGAAGAACTTTGCGGGGGGTGGTGGCCCGCCCCCCCTGCCGAGGGGACTGAACGAAGTGCTCGTTCGCGCTCCACCCCGACCCCCTGTAGGGGGGGCTCGTTTCCTTTTTCGCAATTATTGTTACCAATTAAATTGCCTCAAGGGGTGGGCCCGACTCGTCTTGCCCTCCGCGTCCTCTTAGACGATCTCGCCGGGGTGGAGGCGCAGAGAGGTGCGCGTCATCCCGAGGATGACGGCAATGACGATAATTGCGTGGAGCCGCGCCGAAGGTAAAGAGGCGCGGATCATCGGGATGTGTTTCCATGGAGGCAGTCATCCTGAAAAGTGCGGAATTACGGGCGCCGCGGATACGTTTCCCGAACCCGCGTCCCGGCCGATCGATCGATCTCTTTCTCGCCCTCGCGACCTCCCGTCTGGCCTCTCTTTCTCTCTCTCTCTTTCCCTCTATCTCGCGACCGACCGTGAGACGATCTCAGCCGAGCATCGATGACGTCTTACCGACCCCCTCTGTCGTTTGTCTTCCAGGTCGCACGAACGATGCCGTAACGGAGAGCCGGCTGGGCCGCGGAAACTGGGACGAAAGAGGTAAGTCGATGATGTTATTTTTTATTTATACGTAAAAGCAAATCGATCGAGATTCGCGGGCAAACATTTTTCCAAGATGACCTCTTGTATGCCACTTTAACATCCCCTTAAGGGCGTCGGACGAGTCGAACGTCGATCGTTTTGGGGGGTTGGTTTTCTCGTTTCGATGATATCTCGTCCGGTGAAACGCCCATCTACGTCACGTAATGCTCGAAAACACAATCGACAGGCCGCGGTAAATGTTTAAATGAAATTAAAGTAGCGCACTCGAATAGTCATCCCGATTTCGACGTATGATTAAAATTAAAATAACCGACGCCGGCATTATTTATGTCGACGCCTTTCGAGCCGACACTCGAGCCCCCCTTTCCGCGGGCCTGGGAGTCAGTTCGACCTGCCGATCGATCGATCGATCGAATCGCTCCTCTTTCGTCCGCGGCCGGGAGTTTTAAGGGCCATCGATAAAAAAGGACCAGGACCTCTACCCAGAGGCAAAAGTCGAGTGGAAACAAATCTCGCACGCGAAAAGTCTTTGCTACCCCCGTTAATCGGCCCGCAAAAGTTAAATCTGGCTCTCGTGGGGTTGGCCATATCCCTGACCCACAAAGTGCAGCAAAGGTGCAGCCGCGTCGGCGGATGCACCTTTGCGCACACCGGAACCACGGGTGCTTCCCGGGAACGCTTACGAGTGGAGTCGCCGTTCGTTTCCGCGGTCCCCTCGCGAGTTGATTTTTTTTTTCCCCGAGATCTAGGGTATAACATTTCCTCCGCGAATAAGGAATTCAATAGAAATCCCCCGATATTTTAATTTGAAATAGTTGTCCGCACACGGAAAGTCTTTCTGTCCCCCGTTAATTAGCCCGCGAAAATTAGACCCCTCTCGGCCATATCGCTGACCCACAAAGTGCACTCCGAAGTAGGAGCCTGCCCCTCTCTCGTGCGTCCTCCCCACGAGAATTCTTGAGGCCAACCCTCCCTTCGTCACCCCCCTCCCTGGTTTCCAAAGGAGGGTACGGTTCGCATCGGTTCCGGGACGCGACCAGGGGTAAAATGACTCGTTTCCGACACTCGAGAGCACCATCGCTCGCGGTCAGTTTCCGAACTTCCGGTCTACGGGTCCATCATGCCCCTGACCCTAAAACCACCCCTCCAGGGGGAAGGGAGGTAGGAGCCACTCCTCCAGACTTGGCGGAGTCTCTTTTTAATACACCATCCTCAGGATTATGCAAGCAAAGAGTCGAGGTCTTTCCGCGCGGCGGTCGAATACTTAGAATTTAAAATGCATTTCATCTCGTTACGACTCTGCCCCCCTCTGGCTCGGTCCCTCCCTCCCTCCCTCCTGCGGTTCTTCTTTCCCTCTCTCTCTCTCTCTCACCGGGGCGCTCTCTCGCGGCGACTCTCTTGCCCACTCGTTCGACAGACGGCATATATGTCTTTATGAACGCATCTGGAGTAGACAAGTGCATTAAAACCTCGGGCGTTAGTTCAAGCTTGAAGAGGGCCCGGAGGGCGGGCGGAATGGAGGGCTCAGGAGGACGCACAAAGGAATGCAAAGTAAGAACCACCCCCGCGGCCGCGAGCTCGCGCGAGCGCCGCTCCGCCGCCCGGGCGGGGGCGACCACCCCCGCCCGCCCCCACGGTCCCGGGCCTCCTTTGCCGTATCGCTCTCTCCCGCGGCGGAGGTTACAACGCATTATCATGCAAGGCGGCCGCCCTCTCTTTCGCTTAATCGTTTTCCCTCTCCCTCCCCCTCCCAACCCCCGTAACCCGGCGCGATCACCTGCCGAAAGGAGAAAACCGCGCGGAAGAACGCCCCATCCCGACCCCCGGACCCCCTTGATAAGAAGGACTCGCCGGAGGATCTTCGCCGCGACGATATCGACCCCGGGGGAGGGGGGCGATCAATCGACGACCGGCCTGCCGAGGGGGCGAGAACGGATTCTAATGCGAGAAGTTAGAGACGTCCGATCGACAGCTGACCGAAATGACGACCCGATTAACCTCCGACGCGGTCCCGGCTGCGACGTTCCCTCCAACTCTCGTTAGCCGGGGGGAATCTCCCCCCCGGTGGAGACTTTTCGCGGGCCGACAGCCCTTCGCCGGATATCTCGGAAGTTGAACGGAAGTTCCGGGGGATCTCTCCGTGACTCGGGGGTGGAGGGTCGTCGAAGACGGATCTCTCGTTTGCGGTAATTTCCCGAGGATTAAGGGGGTGATGTACCCCACGGGGGGCGTACTTTTCTCCGTGGGGACATCGATCCGAGATGGATGCTGCGGGGGGCCCTGTCGCTCTGGGGGTAAAGTCGAATATGTCTGGGCGACGCCGTTCCTTCGACGCCTCGAGTCCGCCATTACGCGCCGACGTCGAAAGAGAGGCGCCTCCTCGCGCGGCGCAACTTGAATGCATCTTGCATCCGTGACGCAACGCCCGGCGGCCTCGACAGCGAGGTGGGAACCTTGGCAGCATCCTGTCGCCGTCGTACCTAATTAATCTCCCCCCCCCCTTTCCCGGCTATGTCGCTCTTTCATCCGATCGAAGGGCGGTGGGGCGTGGGGCGCGGAGGTGGAGGAGGACGTCGATGCAGTCGCGGAACCGTGACGCGTTAGGCGAGGTTAGCGTCGATCCCGGGATAAAGAACCCGGGGGCGGGGGCGGTCTCGCCCGGGGGCCGACGAATCGGCGCGTCCTTTACGAGAGATCGAGACTCGCTCCGACGTCACGGAGGATGAGCGACGCCGGATCTTCGGTGGCCGAGCTCGGCGTCGGCAACCGGCCCCCTGATAAGGGGGCCGACCAATCGAGCCTCCCGACGCCTGGATGAGAACGATGGGGGGGAGGCGATTTTTTTTTTTCAGGACCGACGACTTCACGGGATACGTTTATTCGACTTACTTAGGGTCTGCGGAGTCGACGTCGCTTCTGACGATTTTATTATCGAGGTTCAGATGACTCGCATAGAGGAGGGGATACTTGCGCCGGCCAATGTCCGGTTTAATGCCCACCGCCATCCACGCGGCCCGGCATATTTACGATTTCGATTTTAACTCTCATTTACTCCGGCCCGGGTAAATGTAACGAGTCGATCGGTGCAAATCGATTGCGGTTAACGCGGCGCGTGACAGTCGCACACGCGACGGCTTTAAAAATTAAGCGTTGCACCGGAGCTTTCTGGAAACAGCTGATTGAATGGACGTTCGCTGTTGTAGGCGTAGCCGCCCCGTAACGGGTATAATTACTGCGATTAACGAGCGGTACTCTCCGTTGGGGACTATCGTGGGAACGATTTCGGCGGCAAGGTCGCCCGTTGCGGGATCTTTCCTTCGGGGACGATATTTCCGGAATCTTACCACGAGTTCATTCTCGTAAGTCGAAACCCGATGCGATAATGAATCTTCGGGAAATCGTCCATCGCTATCGATTCCAAATTTACAACGTGAATCTGGAAGCTACGGGGATGGTCTTGGTCGCGCAACGCACGCGGAGAGGACGCGTGGGCGTCCGAGCGATCCCGTAGGTGTCGCACCGGAGTCTGGGTCCGATAAAGCCCGCCGTCTGGAACGGACTTCCCGTCTTCGACGAAGCGGTTCTTGCCGGCGATAAGGCGGCGGTATCGCCTCGCGATTTCCGGTTCCTGCCGGCCGGCAAAAGGAGCGCGTGGCTCCGGAGATAATGTCCGCGTTATCGAGCGCCCCAGGACCTTCCGCGGGTCCCGCCGTCCTCTCGGCGTCTCGCGCTAAAAAGAGACGCCGTGGAGGCCGGAGGGAAGGGGGGGCGGATAATTAAAGCGGGGAGGGCTTCTGAATGATTCGTCATCGGGAGCGCAGGACGCGCGCCGATCGATGGACCGGACGCACATTGTTCCTCGCGTCGTCGCGTCGCGTCGCGCCGCCGTTGACGGTGACGACGCCTTCCGGGGCTCCCAAGGACCCCGCGGATCGAGAGCGCGTTACGCCTCCGTTCCTCGAGCTCTTGCGACGTAAAGCGGTCTTCACCGAACGATCGAAACATAAACGCGTCCCAAACTGCGGTACCCGAGAAATTAACGTTGACCCGGGATAAAAGTGACCTCCGACCTCCTGGACGCTCCTCTCGTCTCCTCGTATCCTCGCATAACCACTGGATTCAATCCGTGTCCGTGTCGCGGTGGACCCCTCCGAAAGGGGTAATCCACGAAAGAAGGGGTCTTGAAAAATGAAGAAACAGAGAAAGTAGGGAGGGAGAGGGCAGCATCCCTCAGGATGCAGCTCGGTCGGGGGTCGCGGGTTGCAAGGGCGCCGGGGACGCTCGTCTCACGACTCGCGGTATAAAACAATATTGATTGGTCGTACAATGAGGGTGGATTATGGGTGGCCGGTGGGGGTGGAGGGTGGACCGCGGATGCATTGTGCTCGCAGCGTCCGGTCAAACTTTCCATCGGTCCCTCCCAATCCTCCCCCTTCACCCTGCCCCCTCTCCCTCCCCGCTCTCCTTCTTTCTCTCTCTCCCTCCCTCCCTCCCTCGCCCTCCATCTCGGCCTCCCTCGCTCGCCGATAATTATCACGGTCCGTCTCTGTTCCCGTTACCTCGGGTCTTTCCAATGGGCAACGTCAGGCTTAAAAGCCAAGCGAAAGCTCCTGCCCCTTCCCCCCCCCCTGGGGAACTTGAGCTTCCCCCCACCCTATCGCAGAGGCTCGAGGCGCAAGTTGCACGCTACTTGTCGCGCGGCCAAAGCTCCGACCGGCTCGCGAGCTTGCGAGCTTGCACGCGTCTTGTGTACCGGCGCGCCTTTATTAAACGACGCGGCCCCGATGCAATCGGGGGGGGGGCTTGTAGACACGGCGTCTGCACGGATGAGAAAAGGGAGGCCCGACCAGAAACTCACTTTGAAAGCGCCGCTTCGGCGTCTGTACTCCACGGCGCCCTCCGCCCTCCACCTGGACGGCCAACTCGGAACCGGAGCATCGAAGTATCGCGGACGGACGCGATGCATCCGACATGAGCCCCGGCGGTAAAGTCGGGAA